AGGGAGAAGGCTTCATGGAGAAAGTAAGGTTGGAGAATCAAAAAATAAGCAAGTGTAGATGGAAGGGTGAGAAAAAACAGTCACAGTGGGGGCACTTCTTGAGTAAAACTGTGGTGGTAGGGTTGAATCATGCTGTGAGTCCAACCCCATTAAAAGTGAATACCTTACCTGTGGCTTTGTTCTTAGCTGTTGCCTTGCATTATTTGACTGCATCCCACATTGTGCAATACTTCCCGACCTGTGAGTTCTGAATCACCTCAATTCCTGATTTCTTGCCTTATCGTCTATCTGTGGCCTTGCCCACTCTCACCTGATACCCTATGCTCAATTCTCTAGGGCTGACCCTTTCTCAGGTACAATTTATGCCTAAGACTTGGATGACATCTGTATCTAAAGCATCACCCTCAGCCCAGCCTTTTCCAGCCCTGAGCACCATCCCAGTGGTGGTTATGTTCCTGAGAGTTTTGTTCAGCCCCCAAAAATGGAACACAAAGGCCAGCTAGACTAGTGCCAAGAAGTGGTGAAACCAAGCTTTTGGTGGGAAAAGAGGTTTGATGGCCAAGCCGAAGGGTATGGATTTGATATAGTCAAAGATCAGCAACAACTGTAACCATTTATTTCAATAACTAGGCACAGAGGTTTCCTCTGACTAATATTGAGAAACTGGAGCCCTTTTGTTGACAAGGCAAATGAGTTGCTTCCCCTGATTAAAAAAAGTTCTGCTGACTGCCCAGCGAAGCATATTTTTGTGTTAACCAGGCCAACAGAAAAGACATCCAACTTACCCCCTCCCAAAGTCTTGGTTGAACTCCACCCCACATTGGCCCAAGGCTATTTGGTTTGGAAGCTGACAATCCATCCTGTTCCGTGGCTTCTGTTCACACTTTTACTGGCCTTGGGGGATTGCAAACTAAAAAGAGGCAAGGAGTAGAGTTAGCTGACCAAAACCAAATGGCACTGCCCCACACAGCTGAGCCATACTATACCAATGTACAGCACCCCCTCCCCCGGCCCTGCCACCCACTTGACTTACCAGCTGCAGTTGGCTTTTTTCTCCCTCAGGAAACTCAGCTCTACAATCTAGGGAGGGAAAATGACCAATATAGGGGAAAATATTGGGCTGGGAATGAGGCTGGAGAAAGCCAAAGAACAGAATCTAAGACTTTGGTGAAGGCTGAGGTGGAATTAACCAGAATCTATAGCATCTTGGAGAGAACAGTCACCCACTTGCTCCATAAATCCTAGGCTACCATATCAAAAGCTTCCTTACCACTATCCCCACAAGCTTTTAAAAGAGGTCAGTTTAAGATAAGCAAAATGTACCTCATTACCCAGATAATGGAACAAATAGCAGTACAGACCGAAAACTTCCACAAAGCAAATTTACGGCTGATTTTTAACTTATTGAGGGTGAGATCATGTTTCTTATTGTAGCCTGCCATTATAATTCCAGCACCTAGCATAGTCTCTGGTATATAGTAGGAGCTCAGTAAATGCTTATTGAATGAATAAGTAAATCACTGTAATGATAACAATAACAGCAAGGAACATTTGTTGAGCCTCAGTACTATGCCAGGCACTGCTCCAGGTACTTTGTATCTATTAACTAGCTCATCAAATCTTCACAACAACCCTCTAAAATAAAACCATTTTTATTCTTATTTTGTAGAGCAGGAAACCAAGGACCAGAAGGACTGTGCTTTGCCCTAGGATATAAAAGTATCAAGCATCAGAACGCTAATAAACATTTATTAAGGGAAGGCAGGAAAACTCTGGCTATCTCTTGACCATTTGTGGCATCTTAGTGTTCGTAATGACTAACCAAATAGACTATGAGGCAGACCAAGGTAGTAACTCTTATCCTTTATTATTCATTGTTAATTACCCTGCCTGGGATGCCATCCTCAGTCTCTTCCCTGATTCCTACCAACATATGCACACATCATTATTTTCTTCCCACTGGGATCCTACTCATTATTTAAGATACAGTCCAAATTTCACCTCTTTCATAAAGTCTGCCTTGCCTCTTATTAAAAGAGCTCTCTCCCATTTTGGAACTCATGCAACACCCATGGGCCATACCACTCATTTGGTGTTTGAAATCACATAGCATTCTGGTTAAGAGCCAGTTTTCAGAGTCAAACAGAGCTTGATTTAAATCCCAGCTCTGCCAATTTACTAGGTGTGTGGTTGTGGGCAAGTTACTTAACCTCTCCATCAAGGAGCATGATCTTTGAACTGGAAAGAGAATTAAAGCCCAAGATAGATGAGGAGATAATAACGGAGTACTTAGTTGCCTTCAATGGGTTTAAATTTCCAGACCCACATAAATTACATTTGAGGCCGCTGAGAAAATGTGCAGATGTGATCACAGAGCCAGTCTTGATAATCTTTGAGAAATTATGGCAAAGAGAAGACATGAGGGGTGCAAAGAGGCAAGCAAATATCCCAATTTTTAGTGAAGGTAGGTGGTGGTGGTGTGGTGTGCAAAATATAGATCCTGAAAACTCAAGACCAATGAGCACGGTGTTTACTCTTGGCAAAGTGTAGAATGCACTATTAAGTAGATCATTTATGAGGCTTTAGAAAGGGAGTGGAAATCACTAAGGGTAAGCATGCAATCACTAAAAGCAAGTCATGCCTAACTAAGTTCATTTCCTTTTTGAAAAGGGTATCTAAAAGGATAGATCACTGGGATACCATAGCATAATGTATCTGGATTGCAGCAACACATTTGAAAAAGTCTTATATCTTCATGAAGAAGATGGAAAAGTAGGAGCTGGGTGATAGCAGAAGTTATATGGATGCTTCAAGTTTGAACAACCTTATCAAAAGGGGACGGCTCTAAGGTTATGCTGCAGTATTCTGTCCTGCACCCTCTCATTCAATACTTTCATCAGTCTGGCTGATCCAATATGCGTATGAAACATTTATTGGTATAGAGCATGCATTCTCAGTGGGGGCTATATTGCCCCCAAGAGGGAAAAAATTGATTCTTGAAGAGTGAAAGAAATTCTTTTTTACATGAAACACAGACATAGATATAGCAAATAAACAGATAGACAGCATATCTGTAGTATTAAAATTTCATGGAGATTGGAAAAAAATATCTAAATTTTTACTAAATATCACACTCTTTAGAAGTGTGATAATGATAAAAATGATTGAGAAACATTACTTTGGAGAATATGATATTGTATATGAGACTCAAGATAAAGAAATATCTTAAGAGGATAGATTGAAATAAGTAAGTCAATAGTTTTTGAGAATGAATACAAAGCCCAGCATCTAGGTAAAATTAAAAGTCAATTGTACAAACATAGAATCAGGCACATAGTAGTAGTTTATGCAAAAAACAACAGAGAATTTCAACTAAGCTACGAGCTACACACTGAGTAGATTTATGCTCAGAAGAAAACTAGAGTGGCAAAAACTCTGGAAACCATGTCCTATGAGGCATGGTTTAAAATAACTGAGGATATTTATCCCAGAAGATGAAGAACTTGAGGTGACATGCTAGATATTTTAAAGGGCTGTCATTTGAAAGAGGAATTAGAAATTGTTTGTGTGAAGCTAATTTTTCCTCAACCTAAGGATGACTCTTAACAATTAGGAAATGATCAAATGTGGAATCAGCTGTTTTGCAGGGAGGTGAGTTTCTCAGACTTTCAGGAGGATATTTTTGCACGGAGCAAAAGGATAGATATGGATTCTAAGGTTCCTTCTAATTCCCAGGTCCTGTGATTCCCTGCTAGATTTATAATTACAAAGGTGGAAAAGAAGCCTAAAGAAGATGAGCCCAGACAAAACATCCTCCCTTGATTTCAAAACCAAAATTCCACAACATCAAAGATATTTGCTTGAGGAATCTCTCATTGTCTAGCTGACTTAGTTGCCAATATTTAGAGCTGTAATTCTCCTAGGGCCTGTTTTCTTGTGCCCTACCTCTAGCTCAATTTCCATCTTGGCATTGAAGGTACGGAGGGAGTTGTATGAAAATACCAAGGGGGATCTCAGAGACCAGAGTTACAGAAATGCTCAGACTTGTTTTATGAAAATATTCGTATGGGCCCACTGAGTGGAGAGAGAACATGCTTCCTTTCCTTGTGGGGCTCTATGTTACTCACTTGTTATCCCCAACTCCCTCCTCCTTATCTCTTAGACCTTCAACTAGCCAGAAGGAGGGTTGGTGCAGAAGTAGAGGCAGAAGATAGTAATTTCGGGTTCAAGGGTTGACAGTACACTGGTCAGGAAAGCTGGGGAATGAGATGACGAGCAATGAAACAAATAAAACAGCTTGAGAATCATGTTTCTGGAATTGTGTCCAAATGAATGTCTCATGTTGAAGGGACCAGGACTTTGACTGTGATGCAGCACAGTATTTCCATGGGTCTTGCTTGGTCTTTCAGAGCAAAAACAGTTATTTGCTCTCCTTTAACCTAACACTGCTGGGCAGAATCTCCATACCCTGGTTGCTAGAAATTAAGGTTCTTATAGCTGCCATGGAATCAAACTCTGTTCACTTTCCTCTTAACACTCCCTTCTCTCTGTCCTTGGCCAAATGTTACCTGTTGTTTCACAAAGTGACTTTTCTGCATTGCACCCCATTAGCTGCTCTTTCACTCTCAGTCACTTGCCGAAGTCCTCATCACTGTCACAGATCTGCCTAGCAGGGCCATGTCTACAGCGCAGCCCACATTAATTTTGCCAACACTTCACCATTTTTCTCTGCATGTCCTCTTTCCAGTAATGTTCACGTCTGTAATATTAACCCTGGGACAAATAGTAAGAAATCTATCACAATCCTCCCTGAAAGTCCTATTTCTCGTTGAAGCCGAAAGAGCTTCCAAACGTGGCTTCCTGAGTTTTTCAGTTTGCTGGTGCGTGGGTCTGGAGTGGGCATCCCGTCTGCACATCTGGTAGAGGCGCTTTCCAGATTTTCCTCATGACTCAGGATCAGTTTCTGACTGCTGGGCGGGGCAAAGCCTCCTGAAGTTGCTGCAAGGCACCTCCCCCTGTGAGCAGAGCTTGGTACAGCCCAAATAGTTTTCAGGTTAAGAAAGCCAGAATCTTTGTTCAGCCGCACTGACTGAACAGACTTTTGGTGGGGTTACCTGGCTAACAGCAGCAGCGGCGAAGGCGGCAGTGGCGGCAGTGGCAGCAGTAGCAGCAACAGCAGCAGGGCTCCTGGGATAACTCAGGTGAGTAGAGAGGGAATTCGCAAACTTATCCTGGAGTTTTATTTCCTGGATAACTTAGCGTCTAAGAAGGATGAAGAAACTTCAACTTTATAGTTAACCAAACTTCACAGCTATATTTTATGACTTGTCTGGATCAAATATGTGCCTGTTAATAGCAGTTTGGGAACTTCAAAAATAATGGAGTATTTAGTTGGTTATTTTGAGGGGTGTGTGAGGTGATGATTGTGGTTGTCTGGGAATGAAACTTTTCTGGGGTATCTGGTAGGTTTCGTGTGTGTGTGCGCACATGCATGCGTTTGTATGTGCTTGCCTTCTGCTACCCAAAATACCTGGTAAGTGAGGAAAAATCACAGGAGATGGTGTTAGTGGGGAGAAGCGTGGCTCCTGTCAGGGCTTCCTTCTAGCTGCTGCTGGCCCACAGCTGTGGGCAAATTATTGAAATGCAGGCAAAATCTTGGAGCCACACTCCGTGCAAAAGGCCTGTGAACTTTAGTAGGGGGTGAGCAGGCGGTGCACTGTTGCACAGGAGGAAGTGGTGGCCAAGTCTGTCTTAATTCCCTGTCTGCACAGCCAGTGGTCTTCCTGCCTCAGTGACAGGTTGGTCTTGGCTTCTCCATTTTCAGCCTCTGGCCTGGTTTTGTTCCCCTCTGATTCCAGCTTTGGGGCTCCATCCTCCACCCCAAGCCAACTATACGCTGTTCTAGGGTCTTCACTGGGCTACTTGATCAGAGCTGGCTATGGGTGGGGGACAGGAAAAAGGAGTGATGCATTACAATGGAAACAATTGGTTCTGAGGATTTGGAACTGTAAGTTTGCTGAAAAGCACATAGAAAAACTCAACAAATTCTGCTGTCCTGACAATTACTTCTGGCTTTAGGGTAAAGCATTCTGGTTTGTATTAATAGTGTCTTGAAATTCAGCTAATGCCTCATTTGCTAATCTCTATTGTGAAAGTAAGGACGCTTTATAGTCTGAAGTAATAAACAAAAAAAACATTCTTTGTGGACTGCTAATTAACTCTTTCATTCCTCTGGAAGTTTGTGTGTGTGTGAGCATGCTTATGTGCATGTTTGTGCCTGAGTGTGTGAATACTTTGTATTTGAATACTGTTCTTTATTTGTCCTTAGAATCCCTAGCAGTCTAGGGAAAAGTCTAAACACTTACATGGTCAGGAATAGGTTAAAAAGTAGGCCTTCCATGTCCTTGGGAGTTTTCAGTTCCTAAATTAAAAGCAGAAAAAGCTTTTTTGTGACCCCCGAACAGTGTTTCCTTGATTAGCCTTGATTTGAAATCATCTCACCTTCTGACAGCTTGCAATACAAAAACAAAATTTCTAAGTGCATTCTTGTGAGAAGAGGACAGCATGAATTTTTAAAAGCATTGTCTTGCTTGAGGTATTCTGTCTGCATGTTTGCCCTCCTCCCCACCTTAAAACAAATTGTGGTAACAAAAGAAAAGTCAGGGGTTCCCGGTTCTAGCGTGGGCTCTGTCACTAACTACGTAACCCTGGGCATGTCCCTTTACCTTACAACAAAAGAAAGACGTTGTACTAAGTGATTTCTAAGAGTATTTCCAACATAACATTCTATAAAAATCAGATTTTGATTCTTGAAAGGCTGGAAAAGTAGACATATAGGATGGGCTTATTCAACCAAAAGGGCAAGTGAGCCAAAAAAGGAGAGGTGAAATAAGGAGGAGTAGAGAATGGTGGAGGGGCGATTTTCTATGAGTCTTTTAATTGTTGGTGCACGTCTTATTTAAACCATGTGATCAAATTTCATCAGTTTCCCCTAAAGACAGAAAAGAAATTTAATTTGCTAAAAACAAGTGCTTCCTAATACTATTGCTCTGCTTTAGCCTTATCTTTAACAATTAAAGAGCATGTTCACATACATCATTTCATTACATTCTCCCAATAACACCCTGAAGTAGACAGGGAAGCTAACGTATTCACATTGTGCTATGGGGAAACCGAGGGACTGAGAAGCTATGTATACCAAATGGTGACATGGATTTGGTTCTGAATCTTGTGACTACTTGTGCTCTTTTATTATCATTTTGAATTGCTTTTCATTTTTTGATAGAGTTATTGAGCAATGGAATTAAATACAATTTTGTCCTTTTTTGTTTGTTTTACTTTGAATGGCTTTGAACAGAGTCTTCTCTCTGGGCAGAGTAGGCTCATCTTATATAAGGTAGCGGGCTGGATCAGAGGATCTCTGTGGTCTCTTTTAGACCCAGAATATCTGGCCAGAAGTATGAATCTGAACAGCCATACGTAAGTCCCGTGATTAAATGCGTACCCATAGACCTAAGCTATGACTCTACCTGTGTACATATGAAAAGCACTATTCTCTGTATACCATGTAAATACTGAATTTGTATTAATTCTTCCTATCCAAGTCCTTTTTTTATCACCATACCACCCCCAGGTGTGGGGATAAGGAATGTGAATTGTGGGTAAAGTGGTGCCTACTTCTTGGCAGGGCAGAATTGGGTCTTCTGTATTCAATTTGTCCTCAAATTCTTACTGATTTTATCTTGATTCTTGCTCCAAGTACAGACAGGGAGGAAACTGAGGAAAAGGAGAAATTAGCCAGGAACAATGCCTCAGCCATGCCCTCTCTCCCTTTCCCCATTAAGTTCCCTCATGGTCTCTCCCACTCACCTAAATCCAAAATGGCTTGTGAACCACAGACAGGATGTATTTTATCAGATTTTTTTAGACCAAAATATGCTTTTTCCTCTAAGGCTAAACCACAGGTAAAGAAGCAAGAGATTCTGCTTTCCGAGTGTGCCTAGCTTCCTCAAGCTTTCCAGTCCAATGAGTAGAAAAAAATACCTCCCTCTTTTCACTGCAGCCTTGTATCTTACGTGGCAGTCTCCCTCAACTTCCCCTGGCAATTCTCCGCTTTCTGCACTCCGGGCCCACTCCTATCCCTTCCCTTGGCAAACACGGTTTTCCTCATATTCTTTCTCAAAGTGGTGGGTCTGAATTAAAGTAATATTGCCTAAGACCATTACCTCAGTGCTAAGCCCCACACTCTGCCTCACTCAACCACTCATTCTACTAGCCCTCAGTCCACGAGGTCCCTCTTCTTAAATGTCCACATTGCCTTTGTTAGCTAGAGGCTCTCCTTGGATTATACTCAAATCCCTAGGTTTATACTCAAAGCCCTAACTTTTATCTTGTCTCCTGACTTCCTAATATGTGATCTTTAACTTAGGGCTCTCCCCTCTCTGTCACCCAGGGGCTCAATAGAACAGAAAGGGAGCATTCCCTTCTCCACACTCATGTGTTCCAACAGAGAAAGTTGTTTATGACAAACACAACTTACAAATTTCTGGGTTTCCAAAAATTTTCTGAGAGTTAAATGATGAACCCTCTGATGTAAAATGTTCAGATTCTCCCATGATCTTCAAACCCTGGAATAAAGAACCTTTTCAATATCTACCATGGCAACAAATTCTAGGCAGAATGCCTCAGAGTTGGGTATCATGTTTGCTTTGGAGGATTTTCTCATTTGAACTAAAAAATTATTTCTCTAAGAAGGCAATGACCAAAAGAAGCAGTGTGGCGTGAAGGAAAGCTGCACACTAAATCTGGCATTGCACAGGACCTGGGTTTGAGTCAGCACTGTGGGTTTCTAGCTACTGCTTCTCTGAGCTACCATTTCTGCAGATACAAAATGAAGGACACAGATAATCTCTTTAAACATGACTGCTATGATGAGAACCCAAACTAAAATGTAAAATGCAAACAAGAAATTGCCATACAAACAATAATTCTCTACATAAGAGATTTATCTGTTCAACAAATATTTTCTGAACAATGTTTGTGTGCCCAGCTATGTGCCAGGCAATGAGTGGGCTTCAGTGTATATTTTACATTTATAGATCACTTTCTAATTATTCAAAATTACTTTCACACCAATCATCACATTAGGTACACCCATGGTGTAAGAGGGGCAGGATAGATAACCTCACTCTCTTGATGAGAAGTTTGAGGCACAGAGAACAAAGTCACAGACCAAGTGGACCACAGTTCTGTTACCCAGTCAGAAAAGAGGGTCACTTCTACTCTGCAAGTCCCAGAGGAACTGGGACTACAGTTGTACTGTAGACTCATAGCCTGCTAATTCTTATTTACTGCGTGCCCCGAAAACACAGGCACCCCAATCCAAAAGATATTCTGTCAAGCTGTAATCTATCCATATGAGCTGTACATTCTGCCTCTGAAAGAGTCTACTGGGCTCACATGGGCTTTAAAAATTAAACCTGATTTCTTTTCAATTGATGCTGCTTCTGTCTGTACACAGGCTCTCTTTATAAAGGGATTCCTCTTGCAGGATCTTGCCTGCCTTGGCATTTGACTGAGTAGTAAGGAAGACTTTTGACGGCACAACAGGAAATACTCATTTATCCAGAATGTCCAGGGACTAGGGGGTTCTGGCAAACTAAACATTCTAATTGCCCCAGGCTATTCCACATTTATAGTCCCCAGGCTCTGGCAATTCACCAAACCTTCTAGGGAAAGCAAGAGGCACAGTAGTGTTTGTTATAAGTTTGAGCACACAAGAAAATTGGGATCCATTTGCAACAGCCTCCAGAAAAAAGCCTGGGCAAACATTCAGGTTGGCTCTGATGCCGCATAACTAAAAATTATTACTGATACGATCCATGCTTTCGAATACAATGAAGTACACTTTAATATTTAAGACACGTGAGCAGACAAATCTGATGAAAAAAGGAACATCAGTATTTTGCAGTGCCCCATAGTTCTCAATTTTAAAAGCAATTGCCAATAAATAAGGCTATGAAAAAAGTGTTATTCTCAGCTTCTTTTCCTTAGATTCACAGAAAGGGTAAGTTTGTTGTACATAGATTGCAAATAACATTGCAAACATTTAAATTAAAAATTGTTTTGGTTTTCAAATGGGGAAACTTCTTTACTAGTGAGGCATTTCAATGTGATACTGAAAGGACATAAATGAACTATTAGAGAGGTCTGATCAATATTTCACTTTTTATAAAATAGCGACTGCCTCATAGATATACCACACAGATACTCTTTAAAGTGCTAACATAGTCTCCTTATTTTTTAGCAGACATTCTGAAACTTAGTCAGGTTTCTTTGTTTCAACCCTCCTGTGATCATAGAATAATGACAGTTATTTCTAAAATACATTTTGAAATAGTTGACACCATGTAAATTTCACAATCCCATTCTTATTTACTGTTGAATGCCAGGAGAGGATCATTAAAATCATTACAAATCTTTGTGAATCAAGCAAAAGCTTTAAAAACCCTATTATCACCCCAAAGCTATTGAAAATCAAATTTGCCTTTCAAATTATCTTCCTAAAAACCAGTTGTTAAGGGCACTTGAGTGTGGGGCACTCTGATAGACGTTGCTGGAAGAGCCACTATATTAATTCTCTGTTTAGCCATGTGAGGTTTTTTCCTCCTTTCTTGTTTTTTAAAGAAAAGAAAGCAGCAGTTTATTGCCATGGTATAAGAATCTATAGCCCACCAAATTAGTGTAATTGAATTTCAGAGTCTGCCTTTTATCACAGGCAAAGGATTATACATTAGACTTTTGAGAATAAAGACCATACAATCTTTCTATCTTTCCTTGTCTTTGGAGGCCATCTGCTGAGCTGTTTTTTGCAGTAGCCTTCCTGGCCAATAATGAAAAATGCAAAGCTCTTTAAATGACAAGAGGGAAGGAATTTTGTAAAAAAGACTTGTTGGAATGGAAAGGGGCTGCTTTTTCCCCTCAGGCACAGTGTGTGACTCTCCAGGGCACTGACTTACTCTGACTATAGTAACGTGATTTTCCCTTATCTTCAAGTTATATTTATCTTGAGCTACTCCCTGCTGGTGTAAATGGAAGATTTCCATTTAAATTATAATGACTTCCATTTAACTCACAATCTTTACTTTTATTATTGATTTGTTTCTAATAAAATTAAGACCCACATCACCCCATTTGACAGACAAAGAAAGTGAGACCCTAAAATGGTTAGGTGCCTTACCCAAGGCCCCATACTAATTGGTTGCCAAGTGTGGACGCTTCTTTCTTTGAAAATGATGACGTTTCTTTTAAAGCCAAACTAGAAGTACCTAGTTCTGGGAAGAAGTCACCTGGATGATGGCGGTTTGTCTAATCTCAGGTAACCCCTAAAAGACCTGATAAATTCTTCCTTCAAAGACAACAATCTTCCTCATTCTAGGCATAGTTCAACACTATGGGTCCTCCTCTGAAGCTCTTCAAAAACCAGAAATACCAGGAACTGAAGCAGGAATGTATCAAAGACAGTAGACTTTTCTGTGATCCAACATTTCTTCCTGAGAATGATTCTCTGTTCTACAATCGACTGCTTCCTGGAAAAGTGGTATGGAAACGTCCCCAGGTAACTTTCTATTTTACACCTTCTGTCTCCTTGACCTCCTTCATCATACCTCCACTTGATCCACTGTTTCGCTTATATGGCCTACTGTGTAGACCAATTTAGAAGTAAACAAACTTACTTTCTTTCTCTCTCTCTCTCTCTTTCTTTCACTTTATTGAAATATAATTAACAAAAATTGTATATATTTATGGTGTACAATGTGATGTTTTGATATACATATACATTGTGAAATAATTGCCACAATCAAGTTAATTAATGTAGTCCTCACCTCACATAAAGAAAACTTTACAGTGAAAGCTCCATGGATGGGTGCTCCTAGCTCTAGCTTGGAGTCCTGAATTTCAGTCAAATTTTGACAGATTTAGTAATTTAGAAAAAACAACAAAAAAAGACAGCTGTAACTTATTGAGATTAGCTATCTAACCTTAAGCAAATTAACCTAAGATCCATTCAAGGTGTTCTGTGTATCAATAGTTGTTTTATTTTTACTGGTGAGTAGTAATTTATGATATGGATATACCACAATTTGTTTCTTCATCTAGTCACCCACTAAAGGGCATTGGGGTTATTTCTAGTAATTTTTACTGTTACACATAGAGATGCTATGAACATTTTTGCACAAGAAGGAACATGCCATCCTTATTTTCTTTTGGAAGTTCATTTGAGTAAATATGTTAACTCAAAAAGCAACTATGCTCTTGCCTCCTTTACTGAGGTAGCTATCATAGCAATTTGAATATAATTTCAGACCAGTGAGGAGAAAAACTCCTTATACAGTCAACATAAATGAGATGAATTTTGAAGGGAGAAGATGAATTTTGCATGGGGAAAAGAAGGCTTCTTTGCTGCTCTATGGATACCATCACCTGTATTATCCCATAACTGTCCAAGTGGGCTTCAAGCAGAATTGCAGGTCTTTCACTATTAGTAGTAACTATTAATTGTTGTTATGATTCTCTGTGCATTATCTGTATGTTGTGTCTCTAAAGGAAGTTACAGAACCCTTTCACTAGCCCAGGAGCGGGAGCTTAATGTATAAAACAATAAGATGATGGAGTCTGTAGAACAAATTGCAACCTTGCTATATCTAAAGCTTATAACTGGATAGAAGGATATTGTACCTAAGCTCCTTCCCAATGTAGGTGATGAGGTTTATAGGGCACAGAGGGATGTTGTGAAATGCAAGCTCTTGGACCTTTATAATATCCTGAAGACATTCACGTCCTATTTAATGAGGTTCCTTTCTGTGTACTATTATGGAACTATCTCGAGCATCACCTCAATGTTTGCCTCCTTCAGTGAGCAAACTATCACTTTTAGTTGCAATTTCCACAGCTTAAATTCCTAAATGGAGTTATGCCAAGTGCTACTTCAGTTGATGCACGTTGCTACCATGTGGTGTCAAGATACACCAGTTACATCGAGACTTGTTTTCTATGCAACTCAAAGGACATCTCCTAGTTTTGGCCTATAAAGAATGATAACAATCGAAAGTATGAGACTGGGAGAAGTTCTCTCCGTCTGAAGGAAAATTACACTCCTCCTGCCTTTCTGCATCTCCAGTTATTGACATTCCAGTGGATCACATTGCTGACTTGCAAGAAAAATCTAAGAAATGAACAGAATTTACTAAGCAATACTTTGGTATGTAGACAGACTTTTTTTCTTTTGCAAAAGTACATGGAGAAAATAGAGATACATTGTCTGGGAGCCACTCTTATGAATGGATGGTGATAAAGAGAGGGCATCCCTCTTTTCTGATGCCTGGATATGAAGGAAAGGATGTCAATAGGGCAAAAGTAGCTAAATAGGAAACAAGAAATTAAGAGAAGTATATTGGGTAGATGTCTTTTTAAAATAAAATAGACTTGAACATATTTATAGGTTAAGGAGTAGATGGTAAAGAAGATGAGATTGAAGACAAAGAAGAGAAAAGAGATAATTAATAGGGGTTAGGTGGAGGAGGTGGGAGGGGATCTGGTGGGCGGCAAAATTGCAAGCCAACATGAAGCCATTCCCCAGATGTGCACCAAGCAGACGGTGCTTCCTGTACTGGATGTCTTTAGACACACCCTTCCCCCTCTGTCTTGGCTCAGTCCATGTCCTTTGCCTGCATCGTCCAAATTCTGTGGATTGAATCCTAGATGGATTAGCCGGGAAGGAAAAAGTCTTAACAACCATGGCATTTTGCCTCAGAGGCAAACAATACCCCTTCTAAGGTGAAAGAAAATCAGACAGAGAGGCTGAACAGTGGGGATGGGTAGGAAACAGAATCAACAGTCATGACATGCCTACTATGGGCCACACGCTGTGTTTGAAGTGTTCTATGCATTATGTTACTTCACCCATATTTACTACCCTTATTTACTTCACCTCATATTGCCTGAGACCATGTGCTCCTGGCTTAGCAAAGTAGGATGTTAAAAGTTACTCTGATGCAATTCTGTTTTTCTAGTTTAAATAATAGCAGTAGATATGTCCCCAAGCTAGAATTTGCAGTCGGGTTTGACTGCAAAGCCTACATGAGTTTTTCACTCTATCACACTGTCAAATCAGGGAGATAGAGTTGTTTGTCTCATGTTTTTACCAAAAAAAGGGTAGCTTCCCTCCAGTCAGTTCTCACATTCCTCTTCACTGTGTTGATACTGCACTTCCATTAATTGATCCCCGCTCTCCTGTTTGAGAGCATGGTGTTTGCTTAGTCTTATTCAGCCCAAAGAGAGAATCACTAGAGAAATATTTACTGAACACCTACTCTGTGCCAGCCTTGGTGCAAGACACAGATGTGGCCTGTGGTGAGGCACTCCCATTCTAGCTGGGTAGATGGATATTGAGCTATCAAAGAGTTAAAAAAAATGAATGTTGAATGTATAAAATGCTATTTTCAGGCATATGGACAGTAAATCATGAAGAATTTTTGAAGTAGGGGATATCACCATAGATTGGAATGGTTGGGGAAGAGGCCTTTTGTGGGGAGTAGGAGGAAAAAAAACAAGGTTCTGGACCACCATCTGAGCCTCCTCAAAAAGCTGTGGATTCCTTCCCAGCCAGAGTGGAGGCCAAGCCTGTGGTCAAGAACCACGTCAAAGTTCTCTGGCCTCCCATCAGGAAAGCTGAGAGACAGAGCTGGGCCTCTCTGAATTGGCTCAGGCAGACAAGATGAGTCGCTGGGCTCCCCCACCTCATTGGCAAGGTTGAGATCCTGGTTTGCAGGGAAGCTTACGGACATCTTGTCCCTTGGCATGCCATGTAGCTGCACACTTAATAGGGGCTATTTTCTGAAGTTTCCAAAATGGAAGCAGCATGATTAACCTGATATTTTCTGTCTTTTTCTTTCTCATGTTGAGGGCTTCTGCCTTCATAAGCCCCCATGACTGTAAACACCACTGATAGTTGAACGAACTGACTCCAGTCAAGCTCCACCCCACCCCCCATTCTGGGGCAGGGCTGAGTTCCCCTCCTTCCCACTTGCCACTTCCATGCTGTGCTTTAAGGAGCCTCTTTAAATGGCAGGAATTATGAGTGTTTTGCATTTCTTCACTGCCAGATCATCTGCCCATACCCTCCAGAAGAAAGTTCTCCTTAATTTCTCCAGTGGCCCATTGGTCCCAGCTATCATCCTAGTTTTCTGAGTACACAGGTATGTTGCCTGAGACTATGTGCTCCTAGACTTTTCTGTCCTCCTGGGGCCCAACATGTACAGTACAGTCTTCATAAATTATAAGGTCTAAGTTATACTGAGTTACAGTGTGATCATAAGACTGCAGGTAAGATTTTTAGGCTAAAATCTGCCTGCCAAATTCCCATAGAAAATCTCTTCTCCAGCTCCCTCCAGCCACTCTTCCCTCCTACCCTTCTCTGGCTTTTTTCCTTACCGACTCATAACTACCTACAACAGTGTCTTAAAGACAGACACATCTAATCCCTGACTAAAAAGGAGCAAACCTCATGGGAATTTGCACTGTCAGCTGTGAGGGGAAAAAGGACACCTGCACAAGGTCTTCTGTCAGCTCTCTTGTCAAGTTTTAAGTTCAGCCTTTGCTACCATTGCCGTTTCGTAGTCTTCCCTTGGAGAATACATTCCCCTGGGGTCATTTTACTACATTTTCTGGTTGGGAGTGGGAGGGTGATGAGGTTCTGCATTAAATCTATCATAGTAGGAATGGAAGGGAAAGGCAGATGAGGGAAAACATTAGAAGCAGAATATACAGGCTTGGGTGGTAGATGGCATGTGAGGGAACCATAAAGAAAGAAACACTTTTCTCTCTGTGCTAATAGAAATTTCCAGCCACCAGCTGAATGCAACACCTCGGTATAGTAGTTTTGGACTACTCTGTTCATGAATTTCCTTTTATTCCTAGAGACTGTATCACCCCATGTGAGTAGTCCTAAGTGTTTTCCACTGTTTACACAATTGAAGAGAGTTGAATAGGCCCATAGTCTTTCTCTCCAACTGTCCTATTTATTTTAAATTATGCGTTAACAAACTTTAATAACTTTATCAAAGTGCAATTTATATACTGTGAAACTCACCTGTTTTAAGTTTACAAAGCAATGATTTTTAGTAAGTTTAAAGTTGTGCAAACATTACTACAACCCAATTGTAGAAGAATTTCATCACGTCAATAAGATCCCTTGTACACATTTGCAGGGAGTAATCCCTTCACCCTTCCCCCACCCCCTGCTGCAGGCAACCACTAATCTACTTTTGGTTTCTATCCAGAACTGCCTATTCTGTACATTTCACTTAAAATGGAATCACAAAAGTAACTGGCTTCTTAGCATAATGTTTTCAAGAGTCACCCATGTTGTAGCATGCATCAGTTTGTTCTTTCTTACTGCTGAACAGTATTCCATTGCATAGATATATAAATTCTTCTCAAAAAAGTAGTTTGGGACCTATACCTTGAGTTTCCTAGCAGAATTCTGAAGGCTAAAGTAAGAAAATGACTACATAGTGATTTGATGGCCTAGTTTGGAAGTGGAAGCTGGGCCTAAGACCCTATTCTATTCTCCATGTTGAGTTTCCTTTGGATGGGTTAGTAAGGAAGAGAATATTTTACTGATAACAAAATCTTCATGCAGAATTAAAACTCCCCTGTAGAAAAAATGGACTCCTTGCGACGCTTGTGCAATGTTGGTTCCTGAGCCTAAGTCCATCTACAAATGCTCCATCTGGAGGATGGTTCAATTTTCTAAGTAAAACAATGGCTACCTGGAGTAGCTCACAAAGCCCTCAGTTCCTGAATAACAGTTCTGTGCAAATTACCCCTGAGTCTTCTGGGACTATTTACACCCTGAACTTAATCAAAATGTACCTACTGCAGGACTGGCCTCACTTGGAGGTGTCCACACCCGTACCCCCTCAGTACTGCATGATTACACGTAGCACTTTTTAAAGTGTTTCCACTCTTCTGGCTGCTGGCTTTCTGGGCAGCTTTTCATTTTACTGTGGTTCTTGAGGTTTACCCTGGACCTCAATGTTTATTGTCAGCAAATTTCACCTGTGTAAAAAAAATGCTGAATTTGGATGTGGTAGGTGCAAAGGGAGTCACATAGAGTGCCTTGTGCAGAGCTACAGGACTTGTAATTGTATGCCCCTCCGGCTCAGAGGTCTCTGAGAAGGAGGATGAAGTAAGGACAATGAGAAGTCCCTTAAGACGAAGCTAAGACAACATGCTTCCTAGAGAAGCTGCTTTGCTTAATGGAAGGTTTTGGCTCAGATGTGGGGTCATGTGGGGACCATTTCAGCTTTACTCTTGGTACTCAACTTCCTAGTTGTGTGTTTCTTGCTAAGAAGTAATTTTGCTGTGATAAAAAGCCCAGTTCAAGGATCATTTCAACTGTGCCAACACAGCTGGGAGCCATTAGGGGCTCAGCATCTCTCCTCTCTCCTAAGCCACCCAAATATTGTGAATATGTGAGCTGTGACCTCTCCTCCAACCCCATTCCTACCACTCCAGCATGGCTCATTCTGAAATGTCCCATCTGCACTCTGCATCTCAGCTTTGAGTTACAAAAAAATTTCCCAAGTCTTACATCCTTAACCCCAGCAGGAAGATATCCAGTGCCTCCAAAACTAGGCGAAAAGTCAAGATTCATTTTGTTGTTTTCAAATTTGTCAACAAAACGTCTGCTTGGCTGCCAGATTTATCCACGTCTACTTTCTAGTCTTTTTAATGCCTCATGTCCTTAAAGAGGTAGAAGGTATGACTTTATAAAGGAGTTATTTCTCACATTTCATGTCACCATGCTTATATATAGTAAGAGTTTGATTCATATTTGGTGGATTTAATTGAGCAGATTAATGCCTATTAGTGATATTTATCCTGGAACCAAAAGCTAAGAGATAGGTAAATTTTCCAAAAGAGTGAGGAGTGTTTTAAGCAGAGGCATAAAACATTGGGATGAAAGACTGAAAGAGGTGGTAGTATCTCTGTCCCTGAGAAGCTGCACAATTTTATCCTTTACGTGGTGTCCATTGTTGAGCCTAAAGGCACAGGGATGGATGGCTGAGGTCTTGAGTTTCTTTCTCTAACCATATGTGGTTCTGAAAAATAAAAAACTTGAGACCTAGATCTCCTGCTCACTAGCTAGATGATCAGAGTGGCAAGTTATTGCCTCTCTCTGAGTTCGCTCCCTCAAGTGAAAAATAAAAGCTTTACCAGTCTCCAAAATCCATTCCAGTTTTGACATTCTATGACTGTTAACTTGTCATATTTTAAATCTATTATTAAATAGCAGTCATGTATGAAGAGGGGTAAAGAATATTGGAGAATGGGCCAGTTTCTCAGAGGAAATGGAACATGAGGGGGTTCCCAAATTTACATACTCTCATGAATTTAACCCAGCTTTTAATATATATATTATATGTAAACACATGTATATACATAGACACACACATATAATATATAATAATCATATCCATCTTGGGTTTACAAGAGAATAATTACCCCATTCCTAAATTTGAATTCTGTTTATATGTCTTTTTGCTCACTTATGTCTTCAATAGAAGCTTACATGCCAAAAGTGTTGACTAAGCCTAGATCCCTACTGTGAAATGAAAATCTTTTGGAAATTTAAGATCATCCACTATGATCTAACTTCAACCACTAACAACTCTACGTAAAGCTAGCAAATAATTTGCTTTACTAATCTAAAAGTGCACTTTTTCATATATCACTGTTCACTTTATTTTTCCATGCTAGAAACTATGATATGTATTATCTAGGTTCAAAGTAATTATTTTATACTTTTACATCTTGCTCCAAATAAAATGAAAACACTTGATGTGGGGAATAAGAACTGTGCTTAGTTTCATTTTAGAAAAGGCAAAGAAACAGGAAGAAGAAAAAGAACATCAGAGTTTAACTCACTCAACATACCTACTCTGTGTTCAATAAGTGAAAAGAAAGGCAGTTTGCAACCCATAAAAAATGTTTTTTTTAAGATAGAAAATTCTCCTAAAACAAAAAGTAGTTGTGAGATACATGCATCTGAAAAAAAAAAAAAGGCCTGAAAATCCAAAGCTGACAACCCATCTAGCCATCTCCTTTTGGCAGAAGAATGCCCAATTAATCTTCAGCTTGGACTTGTCTTTGCCCAGAATGCCTGTTTCTTTCCAGAGTTATTTTGGCTTTCAAAGAATATATGGAATGTTTCATTCTGTAGACCAGACCCTTCATCAAGGAGAATTATGTCCATTAAAAAAATGAGGTTTGAGGATCAGAAAAATATAGCTGTCTCTAATACTTTTTAAAAGGTTATACGTCTAGATTCCATTTGAGACAAAGATTTATTTCTGCTGGGTAAGCAGAATGTCAAGGCTTTGGCCAATGGCCTCCTCATGAAGCTTTCTCCATCTAGTCAAGAATGCATTGGTATTTCCTGCCTTTGAACTCTGCAAGTGCTGATACTCTGAGTCACCCAATTACGTCTTCAACTATGTAGTGTCATGTATTCTGCTATGCCTTTGCCCATGCCTTTCTCTCTACCTGTTATGCCACCGTACTCCTCTCGTTCAGCTGCCTAATTCTAGGCAACTCCAGTATTAACACCACTGTGAATCCTGTTCTGACTATGATCAGGAGAATCATGGGGATTCCTCCTTTAGACACAGATCATGCTTTGAAAATGATCTACTGTGCCCAATCACTTTGTGTTATAACTGTATTATTTTGGTGTCATTTTCCTACTCACAGTGGGAAAAGCACAGCTAATATGTTGGGGGGAAGACACACACATACATTCCAAACAAATACTGTCCCCACTCTGCCCAGATCCCTCAGGACCTTCACTGGAAAGAGTGTTGGTTGAAGTGCTCCTGTAAGTGGATTATTACCACCTGCTATTAATGCTGCTGCCATCTATATTCATCCAAAATGTAGAAAAATCTGGTTGCTATGGATACCACTGTTGCCTTTGATTTATGTTAGAGAGGGGCTTCCTGTAAGGTTTCCTAATTGAGTTTCCTAGAGAAGGAGATGAATTAATGTTCACCTTTCTTAGACCTTGTCTCTTTAATACAAGTTCCCTTTCAAGCACAGGTGCTTCCAAAAATCTCATCCTGACAAAATAGGATCGGAATGTAATGTGCTAATTCCTACCTAGTTTGTTTGTTTGTTTGTTTTGCAAAGTTCACTGCTGTGGTGAAAACTCTCCCAAGCCCCAATGATAGCTATGTCTAAGAGCCCTCACCACCACATGGCACCCAATCTCATCACATGCCCTCCTTTCATTTCTCCTGCTACTTCCCCACATGGGGCTAGATGATCAACTGTTTTCTGGTTGTCTTTACAATCCCCTCAGCCTTCCCTTCATCCCATCTATGGAAGTCCTAGTCATTTTTCAACCTTAACCTTATCTCCTCTATGAAGTCTGTCCTGCCTAGTTCAGCTCACAGTGACTCTTGCAAAACTCTTCCCAGACTCTTGTATAACCAATTATTGTATCCATAGGACATCTGTGATGATCCCCATCTGATTGTGGGCAACATTAGCCACCACCAGCTGACCCAGGGGAGACTGGGGCACAAGCCAATGGTTTCTGCATTTTCCTGTTTGGCTGTTCAAGAGTCTCACTGGACAAAGGTATTATCTCTTCCGTGGGACCTCATTCAGTTTCCACTTTCTTGTCTTCTTTAATAACTTTAGGAAAAAATCAGCTCATAAGTTTCTTAGATTGTTATATTTCTTGAAAGCAGAGGTATTAACTAGGTGACTTCCCTCCATTTCATTATAAGAAGTTTCACAAACACAGAAAAGTTGCAAGAATTTTATAGTGAACACCTACATATACCCACCTAGATTCCACCATTATCTTTTTACTCTACTTGCTTTGTCATACATGCCCATTGATCCTTGGTTATCATTTGCCCTGCATTGACTCAGTGTCTCTGCATACTTACATTCTCTGTACCTACTGGGGTATAAAGCCAGTAGAATCTAGGAACTCACTAATATATATTAATAACAGAAAAGGTGAGAAAGACAGAAGTAGGACTTTGAAAAGGTTCTAATAGATTATTAGTAGTACAAAAATTCCTTTAGTATTCAGGTAGAGTTCAAGGCAATGAAATGTTAACTTGACTTGGGACGTTAAAACATTTTCCTCAAAAAAAAAAAAGTTAAAATATTAATGTGTAGGGGTTATATAAAAAAGAATTTCCTAAACATGATTTTATTCAAAATGCAAATGAAATCTCTATTAAATAGAACTGATATAAAAACTCTAGAATGGATATTTAGAAAAAAAGTACAATGAGCCTTGATTTTGATTGGTTTTGCTTTTAAAAAGGCCTTGCATTTTAAACATGCAATAATGAATATGTTTATATAGTCCTCTTCTCAACATCTAGTTTATAGATTATTTATGGAAAGCATTTAAGCACTGACTGCTTGCCCCAGCCACCCCGTGTACTCTTGTGTGCATTTAGGCAGGCATGGTGATACCATCCTCAGCAAAACTGAACTGAGGAAGCAGAAGTTGTGGCCAAAATGCCATGTCTAGGATTTTCCAATCCAGACTCAAATTAGGTGTATGTGGCATGCTTCCTGCTGCCATGTGGATTTGCCAGGAGTAAATTTTAATTTCAGTTTCTGGATGTCGTCTGGGAGTAACACTTGATTAAATGTTCTTACATTTCTAGACAATTCCCAACCATAAGGAACAGGAATGGGACCCTCATAAAACAGATAAATATGCTGGGATATTTCGCTTTCGTTTCTGGCATTTTGGAGAATGGACTGAAGTGGTGATTGATGACTTGTTGCCCACCATCACGGAGATTTGGTCTTCTCTTTCTCCACCTCCATGAATGAGTTTTGGAATGCTCTGCTGGAAAAAGCTTATGCAAAGTAAGGAGGGGATTGACTAGTCTGCTGTCAGGGTACACGAGGAAAGGAAAACCACATTTGTCTTTGGGAGCTCATTCTCTCCCAGCCCAACCCTGGAGTTATGTTGGGTAAGATAACAGTCAGAACTAAGGCGTTGCTTTGCGCCTGGGCCTGGCTCTCAGAAATCTTAGATGAGAGAGAAATCAGAGGTTCTTGCTTCCATTTAAACTTTTACCTGGTCCCGGGTACCATTTCCTGCTGCTATCTGCAGCTTACATAGCATTATAACTTCAGTTTTTCCTTATCTAATATCTCCCATAGAAAGAAGTTTCTGCATAGACTGTCCTTGATCAACATAGCCTAAGCCTAGAAATTTCTGGATATAATTTCAAAACATCTCTCATTCATACTTAGAGAAAAGCCATCTGGTAAAGTCTAGGAAGGGAATGTTCTGATTCTTTAGAGTATGATGTTCTTGACCTGAAAAACAATTTCATAAAGATAACCTTGCATACTTGCCCTCAGGCTGCTAGGCTGTTATGAGGCCCTGGATGGTTTGACCATCACTGATATTATTGTGGACTTCACGGGCACATTGGCTGAAACTGTTGACATGCAGAAAGGAAGATACACTGAGCTTGTTGAGGAGAAGTACAAGCTGTTCGGAGAACTGTACAAAACATTTACCAAAGGTGGTCTGATCTGCTGTTCCATTGAGGTTTGTACTCATGAAAAACAACCACATTATATTCATTCCTGGCAGAAGAAACTACAAAATTTAGTAGAGAAAATCACCCTTAACCTGAAGACCCATGCAAAACCATTAATGAGACTTGGAAGGCTAACATCCACATTTTGTCCTGGAGTGGAGGCTGAGGTGCTTTAACTTTTAGCCTTTTGTACTGGACATTCCACATGGAACCAGTGCAATCCAGGCTGATCTCAGTAGCCTCTGCCAAATTATTCCTCCTGTTTCTACTTCTAGATCTTGAGGTGATGACTGCTTGCTCAATAAATGAATCTGCTCCACCTAAGTATATGGCAGTTCATATTAATGTACTGCAGTGGATAGTTTGAATCTGACTTGAGTTGTTACATTACAGTCTTTATTGTTTTTCCTCTACTGTGTTTGTGTCAAGTTGGGTGTCCAGATGAAATTCCCATCTGTGTGAGAACTAGCTTCAATTCTACTGGGTTAATCCAGTAAATGAGGAAGGGGAGCCAGGATTGGGCATCCCATTTCCTGTGCGCTATATATCTTTCTTTGCTTTCAGTCTCCCAATCAGGAGGAGCAAGAAGTTGAAACTGATTGGGGTCTGCTGAAGGGCCATACTTACACCATGACTGATATTCGCAAAATTCGTCTTGGAGAGAGACTTGTGGAAGTCTTCAGTGCTGAGAAGCTGTATATGGTTCGCCTGAGAAACCCCTTGGGAAGACAGGAATGGAGTGGCCCCTGGAGTGAAATGTGAGTTGCATTCCATTTTCACAGCTGTATCTCCAAACCCCTGTAGTTCTCCCAGACCCATCCATCCAAGCTGCTAGTGAGCTGCTCTCAATGCTTAGTGACATCTGTGGGTTGTTGTCAGGCATGGGGTCTGTGACCCAGCCATAGATGAAATAAAGCAGGACTGATCCTCATGAATTCTGTTTCTCTGGCATCCTGCTTACTACAAGAAGTCAACGGCAAACATAATGGTTTATCGTTTTTTTTTTCTGCTTGCTTTTAGTTCTGAAGAGTGGCAGCAACTGACTGCAGCAGATCGCAAGAACCTGGGGCTTGTTATGTCTGATGATGGAGAGTTTTGGTGAGGAGAGATTTCTGTACCAAGGGAATTGGGGCTTCCACATGGAACTACAGTGGTAAGTATTAAATATTATCTTTATTTTTTTCCTGCACTCCTTCCATTCAGGATGAGCTTGGAGGAGTTTTGCCGCAACTTTCACAAACTGAATGTCTGCCGCAATGTGAACAACCCTATTTTTGGCCGAAAGGAGCTGGAATCAGTGTTGGGATGCTGGACTGTAGATGATGATCCCCTGATGAACCGCTCAGGAGGCTGCTATAACAACCGTGATACCTTCCTGCAGAATCCCCAGGTTTGAACCAATTACTTTATTTGCCTCCAAGTTGTCCAGCCAATAGGAATTCAGTTCTCACTTTGGTCCTCTCTGGACTATTTCTTTAGCATTGAGTCTTCTATTTGCAGCTATTTTGTAATATTCATCAATCGGGATCCTTCAGGATTGGCTCAGGTGCTTGTAAAACACAGCAGACTATGTCTTTTGAAGAGAGAGGCCTTGGCAGCATTATCAAATCTGAATCACCTCTTCTGGCTGCCTCTCTTCTGGCCATATTGCCTGGTATGGCTCTTTGACAATCCCTGCTTCCTTGTGTTGGTCCCCATGTTGGAGAAAGAAGATCTGCTTTGAGATGCTGTCTCAATTCTTCCCCATTTCTCTTTACTGCCCAGCTGTACTCTGGGATGCACATTTACGATATTATTTCTCTTTCTAATGAAGATGGCTATTCTGAACGCCATCATTATGCCTCCATTTTCTCATCTAGATCCAGGTCATTTTTCCCAGGATTTGAATCATTGCCCTGTCAATGACTCCATCCCATCCATCTCCCATTATAGTGCTATTCCAGGTGACATAGCAGGGTCAGGTCCAAGTACACTCCGGAGTAGAAAAACCAAACATCCAAAGCCTGAATCTATAGTAACCTGAATGGTTTGAGTCTATAATAACCTGAATTCTTGTTTTCTATGAGATTTGCCGATGAGCCAACCCATATAAAACAATAATTCTGACCATATTGCTGCCTCACTGCCCATGGACATGTCTTTTGTTTCCATGGATCTCATTGGTCAGGAATTTAGGAGGATACCAAGACTACTGGACTGATTCAGCTAATTCATACTCTTCTTCCACCCTTTCCATCTTAATTGTTCCTAAATAAAAGAAATGTCCTATCTTCCCCATACACCACCTCACCCCCATTTACAACTCTGGAAATGTTTCAAGTATTAGGCACATATACTAAGCTGGGGAAATAGCTTCACTTTATATGTATGTATAGCATTGAACTTAGGGACCTTGGTTCTGGATCCGTTTTCCCTCCCCTCCCCTCCCTTTCCCTCCCCTCCCCTTCCCTTCCCTCCCCTCCCCCTCCCTTCCCTCCCCTCCCCTCCCCTTCCGTTCCCTTCCCTCCCCTCCCCTCCCCTCCCCTCCCCTCTCTTTCCTTCCCTCCTTCCTTCATTCTTTCCTTTTAGAGATAGGCCTCCCTTTGTTGTCCAGGTTGGAGTGCACTGGCATAATCACAGTTCACTGCACCCTTGAATTCTTTCTAAAGGGAGAGAAGAATGGAGACGGACACAGACAGAAAACTCTGATGTTTTTCAATTTTATCTCCCAATAGCACCATGATTCCCCAGATGATGTCTGGAGAGTCTCTTACACAGGCTTCTAGCTTCCTTAAAGTGGCGGTAGCAAAACATCAATTCTCCCAGGAACTGGATCCAGCCCTTTCACAGGCCATATGTCTGACTGGCAATAAGAGGCTAGCCCAGGGTGATGCTGTAGTGTCAGATTGAGTCAAATAAGAACGCTTTCTGTCTTTATGAATTCTAGACTTTTTCTATATATGACATTTAAATACAAAGGAATAATAACAACAACAATAATAATAATGCAATTATTTACCAAGAACTTATTAGAACAAAGCATATCCTCTTTGGCATCAAAAGCTAAGACTGAAGTAGTCCCTCAACATATTATGAATGGCATAGAAAGAAGCAAGTGTTAATGATGTACACTTAGCAAGTCAATGAATTATCCAAGACCTTGTCGTCTGATCAATATCAAAGCCCAGAGAATAACTCAGGCTCTACTTCCCAATGACAAGCTTTCTTCCTGGAAATTTAAGCTGGCTCATCTGAATGGGAATGGTAACTCACCTCCTTGGTGGCCTCTTTCCCTTAGTACATCTTCACCGTGCCTGAGGATGGGCACAAGGTCATTATGTCACTGCAGCAGAAGGACCTGCGCACTTACCGCCGAATGGGAAGACCTGACAATTACATCATTGGCTTTGAGCTCTTCAAGGTAAAAATGGGCATTTGGAGCAAAGAGAAGGAAGACAGAGTAAAAATTAGGATGAATTTAGGGGTAGGGGAAGAATGAAAGGACTAGGGATAAAGAAGACAGAGGACACAAAAACCATGATTTGAGTAGAATTAAATATTTTACCCTATTTTATTTCCAGGTGGAGATGAACCGGAAATTTCGCCTCCACCACCTCTACATCCAGGAGCGTGCTGGGACTTCCACCTATATTGATACCCGCACAGTGTTTCTGAGCAAGTACCTGAAGAAGGGCAGCTATGTGCTTGTCCCAACCATGTTTCAGCATGGTCGCACCAGCGAGTTTCTCCTAAGAATCTTCTCTGAAGTGCCTGTCCAGCTCAGGTTCAGTTTCCTTCACAAGCCCTCAAACTCCTGTTCTTGCTTTACCTCCGATCCTAACCCCTTCACCCATCTCCCCTCTTCAGACATTCAATGGGACAACTTGTTTAAATCAGACTCGATTCACTGAAATCATGGTGGTAAAAATATTTCTCAAAAAGGGATTGGGAGAAATTCCCCAGTGAAGGTCTGAACTTCAGAGCTCTGAGCTACCCTTAAAGAGGAACAGGCCTATAGTCTAAGTTCTTCCACATCTATTTCAACTTCTGTTTTCTGGCTGATGCCCTCTTTTCTTGAGCAGCTGGCACTCCTCCCTGCTCTTCCTTTATAATCTGAGTACTGGGTCACCAAAGCTACCTTTTCGTCCCAGTCTTGCCTACTTTGATCTTTATCTCCTGGCCCTTAAAGAAAGGAGAAAGGAAAGGATGCTCAAAATATAAGCCATATCTGAGGAGGAATGGGCTAAGTCACACAATGTCTCATGCTTTTCAGCAATAATGTCTGCTTTGGTGGGCTTATTTCATCAAAGGATATTTATGATATGATGGCAATATTTTATTTTTGATATTCTAGGGAACTGACTCTGGACATGCCCAAAATGTCCTGCTGGAACCTCGCTCGTGGCTACCCAAAAGTAGTTACTCAGATCACTGTTCACAGTGCTGAGGACCTGGAGAGGAAGTATGCCAATGAAAGTAAGAATGGCAGGGATTCTGGGGAAGTGAAAATTCAGTTGCATTTATAGCGCATAAATTAGAAAACATGATCACAAATGATTTTCTCCAGTGATATTTCAGTCTAGAGAAGTGGGATGGATGACAACCATGGCAAAGGATGGGATGTCAACTTCACACAAGGCCTACAGTAGATTCATTTTCATATTCCTATGTAAAATACGGAAAAGGAAAGGGAAGTGGGAACAAAACTGTTGAATCTCATTCATTCTGGTGCTCAGGTGCTATCTGAAAGTCCCAGAATTGGCATAGTGAGATACCTTCTTGCCTGTCTAGAAAAGGAACTTTAACCCCTGTGTTAAAACATATGTCCACTTTGTTCCAGCTGTAAACCCATATTGGTCATTAAATGTGGAAAGGAAGAAGTCCGTTCTCCGTCCAGAAGAATACTGTCCATGCCATTTTTGACACCCAGGCCATTTTCTACAGAAGGACCACTGACATTCCTATATAATACAGGTGAGAGTGTATACAGGGGTCCCCAGAAAGTCTCATATTCTGTACCAGATACTAGATATTCCAAGAACCTTACATATGTTTAGGATGCAGAGCACGAATTACCCTATTTTTTTGGTTTGTTTTATACTCAAAAACTCTTCTCACCAGCATGGACCCTGACTTCCTTATTACAGTCCATCCTAAATCTCCTTTCTTTGACTTAATTCACTGTGGGCAAAAGTCCACATGTTCACCAGTTAACACACATACCATAAAATCCCATGGAGGGAAGCATATGCCAGTTCAAAGGACCCTTACATGGTTAGGTCAGGATGAATTACTGTAGTCTGGCAGTTTTGCTGACTCACTACACCTGACCAGCTGCCTTTAGGTCACCATCCCCATCCCACAGATCAAGAACAACCTGGTGCTCTGTTTTCTGGCTTTTCATCTGTATTTTTTGAGGCATCCTCCCCCTCAGCTGATGGGCTATCAGGAAATAACAGAATGGTTTCTTTGTTTTGAAAACAAATCTTTTCAAGCTCAGCATTAGGTCTGGATGTCACTGGGCAAAGGCTAATCTCACTGAGGGCTGCTCATCTTCACTCCCTTCATTTGTTTTTGTAGGTCTGGAACAGCCGAAAATTCTGTGATCAGTTCTTGGGGCAGGTTACTCTGGATGCTGACCCCAGCGATTGCCGTGATCTGAAATCTCTGTACCTGCGTAAGAAGGGTGGTCCCACTGCCAAAGTCAAGCAAGGCCACATCAGTTTCAAGGTTATTTCCAGTGATGATCTCACTGAGCTCTAAATCTCCAATCCCAGAGAATCCTGACAGAGCTTGTCACCCTTTTATTTTTCGACAGGTGCCAGGTCTTAGTTAAGATGCACAATCTTTAGAAAGAATAAGATTCACAATAATTAACTTTTCCTCTCTTCTAATAAGTTCCCCATACCTCCCAATCCAAGTAGCATCAGTAGCTATATAACCTATATACCTCCAGCAGCTGGACAGGGGGAGGTGACAGTCTTATCTAGACATCATACACGTTTGCCAAGAAAGGATCTTGGCAAAGATCCTTTTTAAGGGGTGAGATTCAAGCAGGACAATAACAAGAGGCTGGACACCCTACAGATGTCTTTGATGTTTTCAGTTGTTTAATATATCTCCCCTGTAGGGCATGTTGAGGAAGGAGGAAGGCTGATCAAGGCCAAGCTGGTCTAGCCTGACATCCTAGCTCCTGACTGAACACTATAGACTTCCCAGCAGCATTCCACCCAGCAGCCAGAGCCAACTTTAAGTTCCCGACCATTACAGCCACCACTGCCACCACCGCCAACCACGACCACCACCACCACCACCACAACCACCACCATCACCTCCTCTGGAAAGTGTAGTCCTGCCTAACCCAAGTCACCCCCCACAGTAAATTTTACCTTCATATTGAGAAAGCTTCCTAGGTGCTTAATCAAGAGCTGGAGTTCAATGAGTCCTAGACAGTGAGAAGGGCCTGAGCTTCAGCTCAATGGAAACCAGCTGTGTGCCACAAGACGAAAAAGTGGAAGAAGCTGCGGTGGGAGACAAAGCCTTGGTCCTCCACCCATCCACACACACCTACACTCACACACGCGCACCTGGGCGCGCACGAACTACCGTTCAGGCAGTCAGTAGGCAAAAGGAAAGATGAGTAAGTACCACATACACCTAAAAGATGACAGGATTCATCCAGACGTAGTACAGCCAGTTTGGGGCCCCTGACTGCAATGTGAAACCTCTCGCTGCTGCTAGGTTTACAAACAAGCCCATTGTCCTGTGCCTCCTAATATCATTTGTACTGAAGACCCCATCTGGGGACTTGAGACTTTGGTTCCAGCCCAGATGCCTCAGACTTTTCTCTCACTTAGGATGCTTCACTCTCTGCGGGTGTTTGTTTGCCCTCTCATTTTCAGTACTGCTACAGAATTTTCTCTAGAGTCAATTATTATGAAACGTTCTTCCCTCCATCCTAACCTATGAATGTCTTCCCCTCCTTCGAGGCCCAGTATAAATGCCACCTTCTCCATGAAGCCTTTCCTAATTCCACCCCAAGCCCACACCTTCAACAATATTTCAATGCTTCTGCAATGATGAAAAATAAATATAGTTGTAGTACTTAGCCTAGTCCAGCAAGCATTCATTTTTAGCTCACTCATTTCTTACTATGTTTTTCAGTCTGTGTAACTTCTGCAATGCCTTCACTACACTGCCTTACATAAACTAAATCACAATAAAGTTCATATTAAATACAGTGACCAGTCTTGAATGATGGTATGGAATGGATGGCAAAATTGACCATCTGTTAAGACTTGTTTCAAAGCCACTGGAGGTGGGGGTTGGAGTACTTCATGAAATCTGAGTCCAGGTAAAAGTGTGATGGATTCAAAGGCCCTAGCTGCACTCTGATGGTGCAATTATTTGCATGATAGGGTAGTTGGAAGAATGAAGAGTGGCCTTTATTTCACATTTAGTTGGGTGTTATTCAGGGTTACTCAATTTTGAAAATCCTTTTTGGGATTGGACAAGGCCAAAGGTACAGTATCCAAATCTTTTTAAGGACAGATGTCTCAACAAGACAAAATACCAACTCCCCTCTCCCAGCATCTTCCTTAGAGCCAAATGAATGTGTGAAGACTTCCCTCATTTGCTTATACAATCTGCCATCTGTCCATCTTAGAGTAGGTGATGGGAAAACTCTTATTTTTCCTCTTGATATGAAAAAGTGCCTAACCAGAGGAGGGATCCTCAGGAGTACAGTTCTCAAGTACAGCCCTCACTGACTGTCCTTATAACACTAACCCAGAACACACTAGAGATTTACATGGAGATTTTTGTCAGACATGAAATATCCCATGTAGATAATGTAATCATTCCATATGGTCACCAGATGGCACTATGATATTACAATTAAGCTCAAAGATGCTACTGCTTCTTTTTTCCAAGGATGATAATTTTTCCCCAGATAAAAAAGGGTAGAATACCCTCTCTCACCACTCTTATTCATAGTATTGGCAGTTCTGGCAGAGGCAATCAGGCAAGAGAAAGAAATAAAGGGTATTCAAAGAGGAAGAGAGGATGTCAGATTGTCTCTGTTTGCAGATGACATGATTGTATATTTAGAAAACCCCATCGTCTTAGCCCAAAAACTCTTTAAGCTGATAAGCAACTTCAGCAAAGTCTCAGGATACAAAATTAATGTGCGAAAATCACAAGCACTCCTATATACCAATAATAGACAAGCAGAGAGCCAAATCAGGAGTGAACTCCCGTTCACAATTGCTGAATAAAATATGTAGGAATACAACTTAGAAGGTACGTGAAGGACCTTTTTAAGGATAACAACAAGCCACTGCTCAAGGAAATAAGAGAGGACACAAACAAATCGAAAACAAAATCCATGCTCATGGATAGGAAGAAACAATATTGTGAAAATGGCCGTACTGCCATCATTTATAAATTCAATTCTATTTCCATCAAGCTACCATTAACTTTCTTCACAGAATTAGAAAAAGAAAACTACTTTAAATTTCATATGGAACCAAAAAAGACCCTGTATAGCCAAGACAATCCTAAGCAAAAAGAACAAAGCTGGAAGCATCACGGTACCTGACTTCAAACTATAAACGAGGATACAGTAACCAAAACATCATGGTATTGGTACCAAAATAGATATATAGGCTAATGGGAAAGAACAGAGGCCTCAGAAGTAATACCACACATCTACGACCATTTGATCCTCGACAAGCACAAGCAATGGGGAAATGATTTTCTGTTTAATAAATGGTGTTGGGAAAACAAGCTAGCCATATGCAGAAAGCTGAAACTGGCTCCCTTTCTTACACTTTATACAAAGATTAACTCAAGATGTATTAAAGGCTTAAACTTACAACCTAAAACCATAAAAACCCTAGAAGAAAACCTAGTCAATACCATTCAGGACATAAGCATGGACAAAGACTTCATGACTAAAACACCAAAAGCAATGGCAACAAAAGCCAAAATTGACAAATGGGATCTAATTAAACTAAAGAGCTTCTGCACAGCAAAAGAAGCTATCATCAGCGTGAACAGGCACCATACAGAATGGGAGAAAATTTTTGCAATATATCTATCTGACAGAGGTCTGATATTCAGAATCTACAAGGAACTCAAACAGATTTAAAACAAACAAACAAACAATCCCATCAAAAAGTAGGAGAAGGATATGAACAGATACTTCTCAAAAAAAGACATTTATGTGGCCAACAAACATATGAAAAAACCTCATCATCACTGGTCATTACAGAAATGCAAATCAAAACCACAATGAGATACCATCTCACATTAGTTAGAATGGCGATCATTAAAAAGTCAGGAAACAACAGATGCTGTCGAGGATGTGGAGAAATAGGAACTCTTTTTTTTTCTTTTTTTAAATTGCATTTTAGGTTTTGGGGTACATGTGAAGAACATGCAAGATAGTTGCATAGGTACACACGTGGCAGTGTGATTTGCTGCCTTCCTCCCCTCCACCTACATCTGGCATTTCTCCCCATGCTATCTCTCCCCAACTCCCCACCCCCCAGTGTCCCTCCCCTATTCCCCTCAACAGATCCCAGTGTGTAGTGCTCTCCTCCCTGTGTCCATGTGTTCTCATTGTTCAACACCCGCCTATGAGTGAGAACATGTGGTATTTCATTTCTGTTCTTGTGTCAGTTTGCTGAGAATGATGGTCTCCAGGTTCATCCATGTCCCTACAAAGGACACAAACTCATTGTTTTTGATGGCTGCATAATATTCCATGGTGTATATGTGCCATATTTTCCTTGTCCAGTCTATCATTGATGGGCATTTGGGTTGGTTCCAGGTCTTTGCTATTGTAAACAGTGCTGCAATGAACATTCGTGTGCATGTGTCCTTATAGTAGAACGATTTATAATCCTTTGGATATACACCAGTAATGGGATTGCTGCGTCAAATGGAATTTTTGTTTCTAGGTCCTTGAGGAATCACCACACTGTCTTCCACAATGGCTGAACTAATTTTTACACTGTTGGTGGGAATGTAATTAATTCAACCATTGTAGAAGACAGTGTGGTGATTCCTCAAGGATCCTGAGCCAGAAATTCCATTTGACCCAGCAATGCCATTACTGGGTATATACACAAAGGATTGTAAATCATTCTACTATAAAGACACATGCACATATATGTTTATTGCAGCACTTTCTACAATAGCAAAGACTTGGAACCATGGAATACTATGCAACCATACACAAGAACATGTTCATGTCCTTTGCAGGGACTTGCATGAAGCTGGAAACCATCATTCCCAGCAAACTAACACAAAACAGAAAACCGAAACACCTCATGTTCTCACTCATAAGTGAGAGTTGAACAATGACAACATATGGACAGAGGGAGGGGAACATCATACACTGGGGCCTGTCAGGTGGTGGGGGGTAAGGGAAGGGAGAGCATTAGGACAAATACCTAATGCATGCGGGGCTTAAAACCTAGATGATGGGTGACAGGTGCAGCAGACCACCATGCCACATGTATACATATGTAACAAACCTGCACATTCTGCACATGTATCCCAGAACTTAAAGTAAAATTTAAAAATAATTTTAAAAGCGTAGAAAAGAAAAAGAAAAGAACTAACATTTTGAATTATCTGCTGTGTGTCAAACTCCATATTCAATGCTTTACATATGTGATTTCATTTTAGTGCCCATAAAAACCAAATGAAGTGCTGTTATTTTCCCTAGTTTTGAAAGATGAGAAAGTTAAGGAAAAGAGAAGCAAAATAACTTGCTCATGGATGCTCAGCCACTAACAGATGGCTTTGGTATAATTGTTTTCATTTAACTCTGAAACTTTGGCATTTTTCCATGGACATATGCCGTCTTCCAGAAAGTAGTGACATCTAACCTTGGTACAGTGTGTATCCACAGCAGTGTACCAATAACTGTGGAGGCAACATACCAAATGCTTTTTCTCACAATCTTTACCTCTAACTTACACTTCAGGTATGTATGTCATCTGTAGGTAGGCTTGGTCTTCCCAAAAGAAATCAATGCAGTAATATATATATATATATAAAAGCATGTCTTTGATACACACAACATAAATGAATCTCAAAGTAATTATGCTGGGTAAGAGAAGCCAGAGAAAAAAGGACACATACTGCTTGATTTCATTCATATAAAATCTAGAAAATGCAAAGTACTCTATAGTGACAGAAAACATATTATTGATTGCCTGGGGCAGTGGAAAGGGAAGAGAAGAAAGGAATACAAAGGGGCCGGAGGAAACTTTTAGGGGTAATGACTATATTCATTATCTTGAAACTGCTTGGTATCTTGATTGTTGTGTTGGTTAAATAACTGAATATGTTTTTCAAAATTCAACTGAGTTTTACTGTAAATAAACATTTTTTAAGTGAAGCCTTATACCACTTTACTATCCCCCACTGATCTTTTAAAGTTTACACATATCTATATCTAAATACACACACAAATACATATGTCTAATACATTTAAAACTCCTCAAGGAAATGTTATAATTTGTGCTTTCAACAGTAGTACATATTTAAAGGAACTTGAGGAGAAACTAGTTTTTAAAATATTTACTCAGATATTTACTATTTCTGTTTCTCTTCTTCATTCCTGACATTCCAAGATTCTCTCTGGTGTCATTTATGCTCAGCCTGAAGAACTTTTTTTAGTATTTCTTTTAGAGCTGTCAATTAGTTCTCTTCGTTTTTCATCATCTAACAATGTCTGCATTTGCCTGCATTCCTGAAGGATATTTTCACTGGATATAGAATTCTGGTTTGGCAGTTATCTTAATCCATCAATTTAAAGACATTATTTCTCTGCTTTCTGCTCTCCATGGTTTCTGATGAGAAATTCACAGTATTTTAAATTACTGTTAACCATATATATCATGTATCATTTTTCGCTAGGTACTTGAAGGATGTTTCTTTGTTTGGTATTGTTTGGAAATCTGTCTAGAAATTATTTTCCTTAAGTTTACCCAGTTTGAAGTTCACTGATTTCTTGAATCTGTAAATTCATGCCTTTGATCAAACTTTGTGATGTTTTCTGCAATTATTTATGCAAAAATTACTTTCTACACCAATTTCCTTTTCTGCTCTTTCTGGAACTTTAAGGATATACATGTGAGACCTTTTGATATTGCCCCACAGATCTTTGAGGCACTGTCCAAAATTTTTCTCAATTTTTAGCTGGATAATTTTTTATTCTAATTTT